AAATATACGATTTTCACACTCATAAATATTGACCGGTGATATCCATTAACAAACACATGAAAAAAGTATGGAAGATTTTCTATGATGTTTCGAAGTATTTGATATTAATTTTAGACTATTGTATCATTAGAATTTTTTATTAAAAATATAATTTTTTTTGCAAGCATAAAAAGCCTCCAACATAGTTGATATGTCACTGCTCTTATTGAAATTCTTGTATTAATTGTAAATATTCGTTGATTGATGTTGTGATTATTTTTCTAGTATAAGACCTTGATTGTAGGACTTGATTATCGGATATTGTCTCTTGTTGTAATTCGTAAAACTTGCCTTGTAAAGTCTGCTGCTAGTTTGTATATTAGGGTTGTGCCACTTGAGAGATATTTCAATGTGTCTGAAACACGGAGTGATACATCATGTTTTACTATCCCAGAAGTACAATAAAAATAAAATTTTCAGCTACTTATTTAATAAGACGTGATGTACCCTCTCGTATTTCAAGCAAAATGAAAAATTTCTCTTGCTACTTTCATAGTTAGATTATCAATTCGGAGCTAATCTCCATTCATAGACATACCTTTTGCCATATTTTCTTGCATTGACTGATGAGTGGTGGTCATTTAAAAAACTGTTTTGAAAGACCAAAACAATAAATATAATTTTTTTGAGACATAGTTACACCAACGGGAATAAATGATGGTGCGACAACGTTGATGGTGATGTCGCTGTGATGACCATGGTACACCCCGAAACTCCAACTTTAGTTTGTGTGTATAATGTTTTCGATTTTTGGATTATATATATATATATATATGTATATATAATATTTGGATTATATTATTAAAAAACGTAGGAAGCACAATTTGGCGTTCTAGAAAATATAGTTAGAGACATGGTATTTAGATTCCTTGTCATGTCATGGTATGTATGCATGATTATATTATTATACGTATACATGATTGGTACGATTCTTTTATTATTTTCCGTGAGGACCGTGGACTAGCTCAACTCACAAGTCACAAGAGAAGTTGATGCGAAGCAACATTTGGTGTTAAAATATGGTGATCAATGGTAAAATATTTGAAACCCAACAAAACTGCGAAAGGTAGAAGAAATAAAAGCAGGGTTGGTGCACCAGGAGTTCCAAGACCTCGTCCCCATCGTGCCACTAATCGACCTCATTGAATAATGAATTAATAATTTCGGTTGGCCAAAAGTCGGTATATTGACTCCATCGATTTCAATGGCGAATCTGAATAGAGTCTTTCTATTTAAACACAAAACCGAGTCTAAGTTCACCCACCAATTTAATTTATTTTTTTTTATATTTTATTACATGAAAATATAAAAGAATACATATTACTTAAAATTTATGATAATATTTTGGGACAAGGAAATTTATGATAATATTTTTGAACAACACCCGCATAAACCTAATTTTTTTGTAGAATAAAAAAAAACTTGACTTTGGTGGTATTCATCTTCGTTTAAAAGTGAGAGATCTTAGGTTCAAATCTTGTGGATGACAAACTCATACCAAATTAGGCTGCTCAAAGTACGGCTTAACCGAACTTTTCATTTTTATAATGCAAAAATATCGATGTACTAAAAAAAAAAAAAACTTATATCGTTCATTTTCTCCCCCCACCATCCTTTTCCTTTTCCCTCTCTCCCTAGCACTAGAACAAGACATGAAACTTTTAAACCCATCATTTCCTTTTTTACACTACCATTCTCTTTATATATACACCTATCCTTTTTTTTTTTTTTTGAAGGTTCATATTCAATCTTGCACTAGCATACTCTTTACACACTTTTTTTTTTTTAGTGTAGTTCATATTCAGTCTGGAATTTACATTTTTGTCTATAAATTAACATTCGTTTTCTTTTGACACCCAACCAAACGGAAGTAAATGAATATACACACACACACACACATATGTGTTAAGATCAGGGGATACTCATTTGTAGACACACATTTTGACACCCATATTGTATGGTACATTCCGTAACTCTTTTCCAAGATCTAAATTGTCTATATTTCAATTCATCATTCATAGATCATCCTTGCAAAATTTTAGACAAATCCAAAACTATTAACACATTCATTTGTAGTGAAAAAAATAGACAAATACGGTTCTGCAAAGAAACAATAAAATGACTATCACTTAATCCAATAGCTTTACAAAATGTGTGTCAAAAAAATGAAAAAATGAGTGTCCTTAGTTGCACTAAAGCAAAGCCATTCTAATTACTTGACATAGCATACTAGGGCTGGGGATTAAAAAATATAAGAAAAAAACCGACTAAACCGACCAAATTGCACCAACGGTTTGATTTGGTTTGGTTTTTTTTTTTTTTTTTGGATGAGTAAATCGAACCGCATCGACTAAAGAAGGTTTGAAGAGCGGTTCCTATAATTCTTGGATATTGAGTAACCGAACCTACTCGTGCATTTGCTTTTATTTGTTTTAATTAGAAAAAAGACCTGTGATGGTGGTGTTTTGTCTGTATGTCTAGGATGACTTTTTGGTTGCCTAGTTTGCACATTTTCTTTACTTTTCTTGACTTTTTGGTTGTTTGTTCTTGTGGCCCCGTTTTGGTTTTTTTCTCTCCCTTTCTTTTCTCTCACTTTCAAACTTAGTTCTCAAACCTAGCATAGCAGCCTCCTAGCTATGTCCTTCATTCTTCCTTCCTCCACCACCATCGTGAATTCTCTAGATGATAGCTCTCTCTCCCACTTCGTCGTCATCCACAAACCGAAAACCAACCCAAACCAACCGCCATTGTCAGTTAACCGACATGATCGATTTTAGACCCTGCTTGATCGGTTTCGGTTTGCAATTTTGGCTCAACCAACTAGGTCAGTTTAGTTTCAATTTTGGCCCAAAACCGACCCAACCTAACCCGCGCCCACCCCTACAGCATACACAACATAACCTGACATTTCGTCTTTTACTCAGTGCAAACAAATAGACTTTCAGTTGAATATCAACTCAACATATAACAAACAGAGGAACAAATAGATTACAATTAGGAATATTATTTGATCAACGGAAAACCAAAGAAACAGGATTGCCGAGACAACTACACTTAAGAGACTACATTATAACCAACTTTTTTCTTCTTCAAGTGAATAACAAACATCCTATTTATAATAAATCCTAATTTCTAAACAAAAACCTAATCCTAACAAGTTAAGCCTAAAACCCAAACAATAAAGTAATCCTAAATATTAATATTTTCCAACACCCTCTCCATAATAAAATGTAGAAACTCAGTCGTACGTTGTGTACATATGTAACAATAAATACCATAAACATAATTTCTCTAACCCACATTTCATCCGAATCATCTTCTTTTTTCACCTTAAAATGGCTTTTTATCATAAATGATCATTGTGGTACAACAAAACTCATACACCGAGAACTATAAGTTTATAGAAAAAGGAGTAATGCTAGAAATGTCACATTATTTTTGTACCATATTTGAGTACCGTGTACCGTGTGATATGATAAAGAATATGCATAACCAATATCCAAAAGGATAAACTTATTAATTGACATAACATGTACACATCACTCACCACACCAAATGATATACCAATATGGTACAAAAATGTGTTTGAATCGCCTTTCTAATAAAGATAGAGCCCACACCAAATGGGACCCACATGTGCTGTGGGCTCTATCTTTATTAGAAAGGCGATTCAAATGTGGCATGAAAAATATAATAAAAGTAACATTTTTGCTTCATGGGATCAATTGTAAAAAAGAATATTCATTTATTCACTTGCCTTTTTTCTGATTGATTATGAGAAATGTTAGGTAGATCACCCTTAATACATTTATATCATATTAATATATCATTTGATGTGGCAAGTGATGCATATAATTAACATTTAATGAAATAAGGGTGTATTTTCTCTCACCACCCTCAAGTAGAGAGATTTTTCAATATATTAATTGACATAACATGTACACATCACTCACCACACCAAATGATATACCAATATGGTACAAAAATGTGTTTTTTTCTAACAAATTTCTAGAGTAAAACATTTCATGAGAGAGTTATGCTACACTCACCACATTTATACCACCTCTCTAATAAAAATGGGACCCACATGTGCTGTGGGCTCTATCTTTATTAGAAAGGCGATTCAAATGCGGCATGAAAAATATAATAAAAGTAACATTTTGCTTCATGGGATCAATTGTAAAAAAGAATATTCATTTATTCACTTGCCTTTTTTCTGATTGATTATGAGAAATGTTCGGTAGATCACCCTTAATACATTTATATCATATTAATATATCATTTGATGTGGCAAGTGATGCATATAATTAACATTTAATGAAATAAGGGTGTATTTTCTCTCACCACCCTCAAGTAGAGAGATTTTTCAGTATGTTAGGAGCACGGTCCGTTACGCCAAGTGTAATAACCCAAATTGGTTGAGAACTTGAAAAAAAAAAAAATCCAACCAATTGTATTATTATGCTTAGTGTTAGAGTCGTGTTATTGACACACTGGAAAAATTCTTTCTCAAGTGGTGGTAATGCTCCACCCGACTTATTATCGTTAGATGAGTTTAAATTTTGAGATTTGTGTCTATCCACTACACATATCTCGAAATTTAAATTAATCCAACCGTAATTAATATGGTGTCTTTGGGTGATTTAATTGACGTGGTTTAAACTCATCCAACGGTAATAAATATGATAATTTAATTAACGTGATATGTACACATAAGATGATACATAAATGTATTACAAAAATATGACATTTCTGGCATTTTCTATTTAGTAGTTGTGACATTTATTTGGTTTTATAATATAAGTTTAATTTTTCTCTAATGAGTCTCAAGTAAAAAAAAAAACATTTCTTTTAAAATTTGATATATAATGACACAAGAGAGACAGAGGAAATGTTACTGTGTTACTGTGGCTTACTAGCATTGGCTTTATATAATGACACCAACTCTCCAAAGTTCCCAAATCCTTCTCAAATATACACAGTAGCATTAGTTCTTCTTCTATTAATTCGTCTGTCTCTCTTCTTCTGTCTGTTTCAATTTTTTTTTTATAAAGATGGAGACTCTCTGCAGCCGGACTCCTTCACCCTCCTCACCTCTGTTCCGTACAAACGTACGGCAGCATGGTTCATCATCAACATCCTTCCCACACCTCATAAAAAACCAATCACCATGCATCACCACTGCTATACTAACAAATCCAGCTGCTGAAGTAATCTCCATCAAACCTTCCAAACTACCACTCAGTCCCTTCAAAACGACCCCGCAGGAGTTGAAGATAGTGGCGCCGGAGACATTACAGTACGACAGTGGGTTTCTTGGAGCAGTGCCTGATAAGTTAGTGGAAGGAGAAGGAAGTAGTGATGATATTCACGATGCCATGAGTTACTTGACAAAGATTTTGACCTCTAAAGTTTATGATGTTGCCATTGAGTCTCCGTTGGACTATGCTTCCAAGCTCTCTGACAAGCTTCATGTTAATATTTGGCTCAAGAGAGAGGACCTACAACCTGTAAGAATATTCTTCCTTTTGTTTAGTTTTGCATTTGGCACATGATATTTCCTCCTATGCATTCTGTTGTAACCGTTTGGTCTAGTGACATTCAATTAGTCCACGCTATGTCAGAGGGTCTAGTGAATTAGTCATCACTCTTTTCTATGTCGGAATAGGTTAGCCGATAAATATGGATTCACTACTAATTTTTGTTCTAAACTAACATCAGTACATAGAGTTCCGTTTTAATAATCATTTCTACGGTGCTTCGAGGGGCTTGTATATCAAGTTGTTAGGAGATTCATCCTACATATGAGGTTCTATTTATGGTTCTCCTTTTCTTACTATCGTTTGTATCCAGAAAATAATACGTTGTCAAGTTCACAGTTTGAGTGCTATAAGTCGTTTATAATCCATTTGAAGTATTACAGAACTCTATAGTATGTATTCTCATGTTAAGAATGAATTTCATATGGATGGGAGGAGAGATCTTGCATGGGCTTATAAGTGAGTTAGGTTACTTCCCATATTGCCAATTCATTTCATAGTAGAACCTAAACTTTTTTCATCTCCACCCGATAAAAGATTACATGATAGAGTGGCAGCGGATGGTAGATTTTTTTTCTTTTCTGAATCTTAAAACAACTTAAAAAATATCTTCTAATAAGGATCTTTAAATCATAGTACATATATATAAGCACGATTATAGCGTTGAACCAAATACTTTATTATTGGTTCGTTAAGTAAACAAATAATAGAAGTGTAATTATACAGACAGGTATATATACTTTATTTCTGTTGGTTATTATTTAAAACAAAAACGACAGGGACTATATATTTGGATTCTGGCTTGATAGGCAGTACAAATTAAATTACAGCGAGTCCTGCCTAGATTCTTTTGCCACAGCAGTTCACGACATCTTGTTAGAAACAAGAATAATTACAACTAATATGAATAATTTCTCTTTGAAACCTATATATTAGGCAAGCTGGACACAAAGGCCCTAAGTAGGAAAAGGTCTTACATCGAATGAGTTTATTGCCACATTAGTGTTTCGTTCCAATAATGTCATATTAGGTGTACATTTTTTGGACTTGGATTATCTCCCTTCCTATTTTTGTTCCCTCCCAACCCCTCCTTTTAATCTAAACCGTTCAAAAGAAATCTGATGGCTAAGAGTTGTGCTGCATAGAGCCTTATTTTATTAGGTGCCATTAAAAGCATTCAACCAACGACTAATATAAATGGTATGTCTGACTAAAACGAAGTTAATACTAGTACTACTTCCTAAAATTTCAATAAAAATGCCTTTTTTTCTGTGTGTGTTTAATACTAAAAGAATCTAATTGAGGTAGTTGATAATGCATGCAGATTTTCTCCTTTAAAATTCGAGGAGCTTACAATATGATGGCAAAGCTTTCCACAAAACAATTGGCAATGGGTGTTATTTGTTCATCAGCAGGGAATCATGCTCAAGGAGTTGCACTATCAGCACAAAAACTTGGTTGCACTGCTGTGATTATCATGCCCATTACAACTCCTGAAATCAAAGTGTGACATCTCTCTCTCTCTCTCTCTCTCTCTCTCTCTCTCTCTCTCTCTCTCAAACACACAAGTTTTACAAAATTAAAAAAGTTTTTTAGCCAAAATAGTCCATGAGGTTGGTATAACTCCTCAATTTGGTATTTGAGATTTAAAATCTGTAGAAATGCTCCTTGAGTTTGTCTGCTGTCAATCATTTTGGTCATTCCGTGAAAAATCTCCATTAAATAAGACCAAAATGACAAAAATATTCTCAAATTCTGTCAAATCATTTTGGCCCATTGTTTATTAGGTTGAGGTTATTTTGTCATTTTAGTTTTTATTTAACAGAGATTTTTCACGGAATGACCATTGGTGGTGGACAAACTTAAGGACCACTTTTATTTCAAATCTTATAGACTAAAGTGAAGAGTTATGCTAATCTAGCTTTTTACTAAAATGTAATTCTCTAATTATCACGAATCTGATTTTTGGTTTTCCTTTTCTGTTCAGTGGAAAACAGTGGAGAAGTTAGGTGGACAAGTAGTGCTTGTGGGTGACTCATATGATGAAGCCCAAGCATATGCACAACAAAGGGCTAAAGATGAAGGCTTAATATTTGTGCACCCTTTTGACCACCCAGATGTCATAGCTGGCCAAGGAACTATAGGAATGGAGATTCTGCGTCAAATTCAAGGTCCATTGCATGCAATCTTTGTGCCTGTTGGTGGTGGTGGACTTATAGCTGGAATTGCTTCCTATGTCAAGAGAGTTCGCCCCGAGGTTTGTGTTTTTTTCAATAAAAAATAAAATAAAAAATTGTTATTAAGGAGAGAGGGAGAGTTCGAAACTATTATACTAGTTTATGGGAGGGGAAGTTTCAAATCCAAATGTTTTTGAAATGATTTCAGAATTTCATACTAGGACGTATATGTATGTGTGGCAGATGTATGTGTGGTATATGTATGTGTGTGTAAGATTTATATCTAGCCTAATGAATTACGTAGCATGTGTTGGCATGTGTTAATAAGATAGTGTTTTTATTGTCAATATATATATATATATATATATATATATATATATATCTCCTTTTAAATGTGTATTATTTGATGCTCAATGTAATGATCTATCTTCACATACTCGATCCTAGCCTCTTATGTGAAATCATAGTCATTTATCAAGATGCCTCGTCCGCAATTAATCTTTGGTGATTGCATGACTTAATTGGTTTCATAATCATGCAGGTCAAGATAATTGGGGTAGAGGTATCCGATGCAAACGCAATGGCACTATCCATACATCATGGTCAGAGAATTATGTTGGAGAAAGTGGGAGGATTTGCAGATGGAATAGCAGTAAAAAAGGTTGGGGAAGAAACTTTTCGGTTATGCAGAGAACTCATTGATGGAGTAGTTCTTGTTAGTCGTGATGCCGTTTGTGCATCAATAAAAGTGAGTCTTAATTTTATCTTAATTTATACTCATTAAAGTTTCAACTAATCATGTTTTATTTTAATGTCTTCTACTTAGACTGTGTTTAGAGATTCCAATCTACTACTTTAGTTGTATTTTAGCTCGTGTGCTTCTGCTGCAGGATATGTTTGAGGAAAAACGGAGCATACTTGAACCGGCAGGCGCTGTAGCCATCGCTGGAGCAGAAGCATATTGCAAATATTATGGACTGAAGGGTGAAAATGTTGTTGCTATAAGTAGTGGAGCTAACATGAACTTTGACAGACTAAGATTGGTATCTCAACTAGCCGATGTTGGTAGGAGATGCGAAGTTTTCCTTGCAACATTTGTTCCAGAAAAGCGTGGAAGCTTCAAACAGTTTTGTGAACTGGTATTTCAAAAGAACCTCTTCCTATCATTATCATAAGGTAAAAAAAAACATTGATTCATCAATTCTGAACCCTAGCTTATATCAACATTTGACTAGCAGGTTGGTCCAATGAATATTCTTGAGATAAGCTACAGATATGATGATAAAAAAGAAAGTGGCCTTGTTCTGTACAGGCAAGGACCTCTTACTCTTTAACTTTATGTTCTTCGTAAAGAAAATCCTTAGTGTTTCTATCTCTCAGTACAGTAAGAAATATTAATAAATTAAAATAAAATGACATTATTAACTATTAAAGTTGGTAGGTTCTAAAATATTGTTTTCAACTACATCCAACAATAAAAAAGTTTGTAGTACATTTGTTCCACATATTCATTGAGTCTATATGGTCATATATATGTTGCAGTGTTGGCTTTCAAACTGTTTTGGAGTTGGAAGAAATGTTGGATCGGATGATGTCGGCTCAACTACTGACCGTTAACCTGACAAATAAGGAACTAGTTAAAGATCATATGCAATTTTTGGTAATCAATCTCCTCACCTTTTGTTTTTTCATTCTGAATATATAGACGCCAATTGTATCTCTCGGGTTTTAAAAGCATCAAATCGATGCAAAAACATGAACAAAATTTGATGAGTAATGACATGTTGAGGCTTCTCTCCAAAATGGTCCACAGTTAAGATTTTGATCCCATAAGTTTCCGGTATATGCTTCAGGTGGGAGGTCGATCGTCCTCTATCGAAAATGAGATCCTCTGCCAGTTTGCCATTCCAGCGAGGCCAGGTGCTTTATTGAAGTTCTTAGATGCTTTCAGTCCCCTTTGGAACATAAGCTTGTTCCATTACAGTGGACAGGTTTGTACCTGTTATACTGATAATCCACTGTACTTACTGTAATCTTGTTGCACAAGGCTAATTTTTTTTTCCTTGTGTTTTCATCTTACCAGGGTGAAAGTGGTGCGGATGCGTTGGTCGGTTTACATGTTGCAAGCTCTGAGATAAACAAGTTCAAGGCTTTGGCTGATGCTCTAGGGTTTAATTATAATTTTGAGACAAACAATGAGACCTTACAATTGCTATTGCATTAGATGAGCCGCTAAACGGGCTAGCTTCGGCCCAACAAACTTGAGTTATTTTAAGTTAATTGTGTTAGTGTAACTTGAATCAATGAGTTTTGATCTAGAGGGAGCTGGACAGAAAACAAAAGATGAACAAAACTGGAGAAATGAATGGTTTCTTGTTTTCTCTCTTGCAGAAACTTTGCAGATGAATATTTCTTCTCTATTCGAAAAAGAGCACTAACTTGCTTTACATTAACTGAAAGGCCTTAACTTGGGACCACATAAAACACTACATTTCATCTTAGACACACATCTATCTAATTTCATGGATCACTCAACACATGACACTCATGGCCTTTTACAAAACTAGACATTTAAACTTTGCCTCATTTTGCACAAGTGGATACACCAATTTAAACAAACTTATTCTAAAACTTTTCAGCTCAAATACTTATAATTCAACACTCCCCTTTAAGTTTTGAGCTGATTTCACACCAAGCATATCTCGAAGATAGTTGAATCGATCCTTAGCCAAAGGTTTTGTGAAGATATCTGCTATCTGTTTTTCAGTGGGACAGTACACCAAATCAATGATTCCTTCTTACAGTGCATCCTTAATAAAGTGATACCTTCTATCAATGTGCTTTGTCTTTTGATGGAACACGGAATTCTTTGTGATAGCAATGGCAGATGTGTTGTCACAGTGAAGAGGAGTAGCTACAGTTTGCCAAAATCTCCCAAACAGTGAAGAGGAGTAGCTATAGTTTGCCAAAATCTCCCAAAACAAACCTCAACCATATTGCTTGTGTTGTGGCTTCTGATGCACTTATATATTCAGCCTCTGCAGTTGAGAGTGCAACACAGTTTTGCTTGATTGAAGCCCAAGAAAACACACCACTGCCAAATGAGAATGCATATCCTGATGTGCTTTTGCTGTCTTCCAATGAACCACCCCAGTCACTATCACATAAACCAATTAAGCAAGCTTTTCTTCCTTTCACATACTCTAAGCCATAATCCAGAGTTCCCTTGATGTATCTGAGCACTCTCTTTGCAGTTCCATAGTGTCTATTGGTAGGACAATGCATGTATCTGGCCAATAAACTAGCTGCATACATTATATCCAGCCTTGTAGCAGTGAGATATAGAAGACTTCCCACAATGCTCCTATACAATTCATCACTTGGAGATCCACTTCCATCATCTTTACATAGCTTCTCAGTAGCTACCAGAGGAGTTGAGACAGTCTTTGCTTCATTTAAACCAAATTTACTCAGTAAAGAGCTTGCATACTTCTTCTGATTAATGAAGATGCTGGAATCTGTTTGTATCACTCACATCCCAAGGAAGTGGTGAAGAAGACCTAAATCTGTCATCTCATACTTCATTTTCATATCTTCTTTGAACTCTTCTAGCATTGGTTTGCAACTACCAGTGTAGACTATATCATCTACATAGATAGAGACAATCAGAATATCTTCTCCCCTTGCTTTTATATACAGAGTTGGTTCACTCAAGCTTTTCTTGAAACCACACTGTGAGAAATAGCTGTCAATCTCACCATACCAAGCTCTCGGAGCTTGTTTTAAACCATAGAGGGCCTTATGAAGTTTGTAAACCTTTTCTTCCTTGCCTTTTACTACAAAACCTTCAGGCTGCTCAACATAGACCTCTTCTTGTAGAACTCCATTCAAGAAAGTTGATTTCACATCTAACTGATACAGTTTCCAGCTCTTTTGTGCAGCCAAAGCTATTAAAGTTCTAATGGTATCCAACCTAGCAACCGGTGCATAAGTCTCATTGTAGTCCAAACCAGGCTTTTGTGCATAGCCTTTTGCAACCAGCCTTGCTTTATTCTTCAACACTGAGCCATCATGATTTAACTTAGTTTTGTAGACCCATTTAACCCCTATAACAGGTTTTTCAGTTGGTCTGTCAACAAGCTTCCAGGTGCCATTCTTTTCAATCATAAACAGCTCATCCTCCATAGCTTTTAACCAAGACTCATCTTGTTTGGCATCCTCATACTTCTCTGGATCCATGATACACAGATTGCATTGAGCCAATACTTCATTCAGATTCCTCCACTTCAATGGTGTATTATCAAATGCTTGATTTTGTCCTTCAATTAAATTTGATATGCTTGAAGATTCACCTAAGATAGGTGACTTGGATTGAGTTTCAGAGTCTTCACTATTAGGAGCTCTCCTAGAATGAGATAATATAGGTGATGTAGGAGACAACACCATTCTGTCATTACTCTATGTACTTATATCACTGTGAATAAAACTTCCAGTATTAAGAAATGTTGACCCTGAGTTCTCTTCCCAATTCCAGACATCTTCTTCATCAAATACAATGTCTCTTGACAAGAATAACTTCTTAGATAATGGATCAAATACCCTATATCCCTTTTCACAAGTTGCATAAGTTGCATATCCCACAAATACTCATTTTAAACTTTTAGGTTCAAGTTTATGTCTCTTTTCACTTGGAACATGAACATAACACAGAGATCCAAACACTCTCAGATGGGCTATTCCTGGCTTTCTACCATAATAGGCTTCAAAAGGTGTGATGTTGTTCAAAGCCTTTGTGGGACATCGATTTAGACTATATACAGATGTATGCATAGCTTCTGCCCAGAGGAAATATGGCATCCTCTTCTCATGCAACATAGATTTCGCCATTTCAATCACTGTTCTGTTCTTTCTCTCCACTACTCCATTTTGTTGTGGAGTATATGCAAGAGTAAATTGTCTTTGTATTCCTTCCTTTTCACAGAACTGATCAAATTCTGAAGACTTGAACTCCCCTCCTCTGTCACTTCTCAGAGTCTTAATCTTGAAACCACTTTGTAATTCTGCCATAGCTTTGAATTTCTTAAAACAATTGAATGCATCTGACTTATATCTCAAGAAATAGACCTAAATCATTATGGTAAAATCATCTATCAGTAGCATGAAATACTTATTTCCAGCAATTGACTCAGTCTTCATAGGTCCACACAAATCAACATGAATCAGCTCAAGTGGAGCAGTTGCTCTATACACTTGATTTCTATGGAATTCTTCTCTGTGCTGTTTACCAAATTGGCAACCTTCACAGACTCCATTGTAGTCTGCAAGCTGTGGCAAACCATGTACCATTTCTTTGTTTCTCAATTGTTTGAGACCACCAAAGTGTAAATGTCCAAGTCTCCTGTGCCAAGTCTCAGTAGAGTGAGTGACACTAGCTTTCAGCACCATTTGATTCTCAGAGAACAAGGTCAGTGGATAACACCTATTCACTTTCTTCTTCACTCTCATAACCAAGCATTCCAGTGATGGACCATCATACACATTGCACATTCCACCTCCAAACACCAAGAAGTATCCATGTTCATCCATTTGACCAACACTGAGTAAGTTCTCCTTTAACCCGGGAAGATACATTACTTCTCTAACATACTTTCTCCCTTTATTTGTATCAATAACCAAAGATCCCATTCCTGCAACATTCACAAGATCTCCAGTTGGCATTTAAACTTTACCAGCTACATTGGTTCTAACCTCAACAAGCAAATCTACATTTCTTGTCATGTGATTGCTACAACCACTATCTATATACCACTCTCCATTCACCTTTGGTTCTGTGACAGTGTTGTTTGCATAAAACAGATTCCCTGTCATCTCCAATTGACTTGCATTATTTGCCTTTTGCACTGACCTGCCTACAGTACACTCTCTAGCCCAATGCCCAAATTTATCACAATTGAAACACTTTGGTTTCCCTTTGTATCTACACTCACCAAAGTGATATTTAGAGCACACCTTGCACTGAGGCTTTGCAACCTCCTGACCAATTGACTGAGATGCATTTGCATTCTGATAATTGTGCAGAGAAGATTTCTGCTGAAATTTGGGTTTTGATTCCCATTTCTTGCCTTTAGAATTCCAATTTCTCTGAAATCTAAATGAACCAGAATGACCACCACTCTTGTTCTGCTCCTTTGGATTCACGGAGAGTGAAGAGAATGCTCTCTCATTTGCATCAACCATATGCAAATCAAACCGTTGTTCTTGACTCTTTAAGATTGCAACTACTTCCTGCAATTCTACAGTCTCTAGACACTTTGTATTTTCTATAACCAAACAGATAGAATCATAAGGTTTACTAAGACTAATCAGGACCTTCTGCACTAGTCTCTCATTCGACAGAGATTCACCAAATGTTCTCATCAGATTAATTAGATCATTCAACCGTGTAAGATAGCTAGACAAAGACTCATCATCTCGCATCCTAGCATATTCAAATTCTCTTCTAAGATTCTGCAATTTCATAGATCGTACCTGATCACCACCATGATACTCTCCGTACAAAAAATCCTATGCCATCTTTGCTGACTCGGCATTGGCGATTCAAGGGAAGATTTGATCCGAAACTGCATTCTGAATGATTCCCAAAGCCTTTGCTTCTTGCATCAACACAGCTGACATTTCTTCATCTCCATCATCCTCCGATGATCCTTTAGTCTTCTTCTTCTTCGAATCGGACGTTTTAACTCCCTTCTCCACCAGATTCCATAACCCATGCGATTTGAAGATTGTCACCATCTTGATTCTCCAGAACTCGTAGTTCTCACCAGAGAAGATTGGAGTCCTCACTTCCGAGCCTCCAGATCCAGACATGATTTTGATCTGAATCGACAACCTTCACAGAGTTTCAAGAGAGCTTCGATTGAGCTCGATAACGTCACAGATTGTTAGATCCAACTAGGCTCTGAGGCCATGTTAGTGTAACTTGAATCAATGAGTTTTGATCTAGAGGGAGCTGGACAGAAAACAAAAGATGAACAAAACTGGAGAAATGAATGGTTTTTTGTTTTCTCTCTTGCAGAAACTTTGCAGAGGAATATTTCTTCTCTATTCGAAAAAGAGCACTAACTTGCTTTACATTAACTGAAAGGCCTTAACTTGGGACCACATAAAACACTACATTTCATCTTAGACACACTTCTATCTAATTTCATGGATCACTCAACACATGGCACTCATGGCCTTTTACAAAACTAGATATTTACATTTTGCCTCATTTTGCACAAGTGGATACACCAATTTAAACAAACAAATTGAACTGTTGTAAACTAAACTTTAAGTTAATTTAACTTGAGTTATTTTATGCTTTTATTTATACTAATTATAATGAGTTTTCTTGTCTTATAAGTAATATAGCTTATGAGGAGTCGGTCTCCAAATCCTATTGGAATTCCTAGACTAAATTTACACAATCACATTCATAGAATAATAATATTTACAACATATACGTATTTTTAAGCTAAATATCCCAAATATTCTGTCTTATTAACCCCGAAGTGTGTTTCAATTTCTATAAGATTTTTCTAAATAGATTTACATGTTCCTAATTCGTTTTCCAATGCTTCGACCAGATATTCACGAGTCATATTGTGGGGCTTAATTTTTATATGAGACATAAATTGAAGTGTAGCCGTATGTGGTTCTTATCTTGAGTTTAATAATGTTGGTGGGTTTTGGTTCATCAATTATAGGGTATGAATATTGGTTTTTTGCAATCTTCTCTTGCTCCTCTCTTTAATTTTGGAAAAAAGTTTTGGTTTATCAATGAGCTGAAATTATTACATTTAGTAAAAGAGAGATTATATTCACATACCCCAATTTACTTCTTCCACATATTTTTAATTTTTTAATATTTTCTACACACCACTAACACTTGATAGAAAAATATTAAAAAATTAAAAGGATGTGAGAGAAGTAATTTGGAGTGTGAATATAACCTCTCTAAGTAAAATAACATCCTTGTCCACATTGAAAATATTGCCGCATGTAACAATTAACAAAGACCAAATTGGCTTCCAAACTGAATTTAAAAAGAACAAAAATTATAGCTACGACAGGTGCCAGTAAACGCTGAGTCTGAAAAGCTGTGTGATTCAGATGTTGTAAAGTTCAAAGACGATTGAATTCGACAATGGGGGTTTGAAAGTGATTGAAGAACTGCCATTGAAATTGGTAATATGGCACACAATACAAAACTGAAAGAACAAAAGAAATGGCCTGCAACTGGTTTGCAGCTGTATGTATGTCTGTATAATTCAGCTGCATGCCAATGTGTATTAGAAGCTATGACAGCTCAAAGAACACACTTCATTAAGACACTCCACGAACCACCCCTTTATTCTGCAGTTAAATTGATTTTGGGTAGTCCTATACATGGATAACATGCATGGATTTTGGAGTCAAAAGACCTTTTTACCCCTAAAAAGTTGTGTATCTGTTACAATGTCAAGAGGGTGAGTTTGGTTTTTCCTTTTCCCCAATTAAATATATTGGTGGTTGATATCCCCAATTAGGTAGTCTGTTTAGCACTTCTAAATTGCTCAACTCATAACCCATGAGCAAATTCACACTCCAATGTTAAGCATTCCACTGTAATAATAATAATAACAATATATGTATGTATGTATGTATGTATGTATGTATGTATGTGTGTGTGTGTGTGTCTCTGTGTGTGTGTATATATTTGTTTCAAAGCTCTTCATAAATCCACCATCCCACTTCTGACGAGAGAGAAAATGGGATCATTAGTTTGTTTTCTTCTTGTGATTATAGCACTTTCTCTGCAGGCAAATGGGCAGCCTTTGGTTCCTGCAATGTTCGTATTTGGGGACTCAGTTGTGGATGCTGGTAACAACAACCACCTCTACACCCTGATCAAAGCCAACTTCCCTCCTTATGGAAGAGACTTTGTCAATCACAAGCCAACTGGGAGGTTCTGCAATGGAAAGCTTGCTTCAGACTTCACTGGTATTTTTATATTCTAATCTGCTCTAATTTACAGAAAGAAAGATTCAAACTTAGGTGCAAGGGAATTGGTACATTGCATTCGTTGACCAACTCACTAACTAGCCTAACTTGCATCTGGAACTAGTTATATCTTAGAATCGCCATGCATTTCTCAAGTCTCATTTTTAGACAATATTTTTTTAGTCCACTAATTGGCTTTTTTTTTTCTTTCTTGTTTTGTTTTCTTTGACTGCAGCTGAAAACCTTGGATTTACTTCTTACCCTCCAGCTTATCTTAGCAAAGAAGCCAATGGAAAAAACCTCTTGATTGGTGCCAATTTTGGCTCAGCTGGTTCTGGCTATTATGAGTATACAGCAAAATTATATGTAAAAAGAAATTAACAATTGCAATTTTAACTAGCTAGAAGATCTCTGTAATTTCTCACACATGAACATTGTAGTATGATTTTTTAATTTTTCGTGTGTAAATCTTGGTGTTTACATGCAGAATGCAATTTCACTAAATCAGCAGCTGAAGTACTACAAGGAATACCAAAACAAGGTGGTGCGAATTGCAGCAGGAAATAAAGCCAATTTTACTTCAATAATATCTGATGCAATCTACCTTGTTGGTGCTGGGAGCAGTGACTTTCTTCAGAACTACTACATTGATCCTCTTCTTTACAAGGTCTATACGCCCAACCAGTTCTCTGACATTCTCATGCAATCTTATGCAACATTCATTCAGGTAGATCACAATTCCTCTCCATACCTTTTGATTAAAGAACGGAAGAGGAGATTCGAAATTGGACCTCTCCTAATAGTGAAAATTAGAGAAAAATCTCTTAAGTTAACAGATTTCAATTTGGACCCAATTCAAGCCAATAGCAAACTAAAGCCTTGTTTCTTACCCTTCATTGTCTTAGACTGGACTATTTCTAAGGGGAAACAATTGAAACCAATGGCGGTGTAGCTAGAGACAAGGCTACCGTGAGACCTCTTAGTAGACTAAAATCGCATATAATAGTCTACTAAGAGATCTAAGCACAACTCCATTGAAAATTTCTCGCTCTGCCCTTAATTGAAAATATAATTATGACCAAATTGAAATCGAATTCAAACTACAAGAGAAATATTGTCGTTTGTCCTTCAATTATCTTATGAAGTATAGTAACTAAAAATGGTGACAATTACTGTAAACCCTAACCATCAAGAAACTAATGAAAATGGTTTGTTACAGCATCTGTATGCATTGGGAGCAAGGAGAATCGGAGTGACCACATTGCCGCCACTTGGATGCCTGCCGGCGGCCATCACTATATTTGGGTCGCACAGCAATGAGTGCGTGGATAAACTCAACAATAATGCAATCTCATTCAATAACAAGCTCAACGCCACATCTCAGAGCTTGCAAAATGGCCTCTCTGGTCTCAAGTTGGTCGTCTTAGATATCTACCAACCGCTCCATGACCTTGTCACAAAGCCTGCCGAAAATGGTACGTGAAGAAGAAGAGCCTTTATTTGGTTTAAAGTTAGCCATGCACCAAAATTAGCTTAAACAAAACTTCTTAAAGTAAATCGAGGGGACAGAAACGATAAAATTTGACTTTTCTTTCAAAATCGATCTAGGGACGACCTTTGCAGCTTAACACACAATGTGCTAGCATGGGCGATAAGAATAAATTTTAGTACTATATATACTAAACAATGTGGGGGCTACCTTCAATGTGGTGCCCTAGGTGACCGCCTCGTTCGGCTTTCCTCAGAGCCAGGCCCTGCATTTGTAGCATTGAAAGTGAAAAATACTACTAAGATGATGACGAACTAAAGTAGTAAGATAAAGTAGTTACATTTTTAAGGTTTTTTTTAGCTATAATAGTCCTTCAAATTTGCCTAATCCCTCACTTTGATCCCTGAGATTTGAAATCAATAGAAATGGTCCATGAGATTGTCCATCATCAATCTTTTTGGTCCCTCGGTGAAAAATTATACTAAATAAAGATCAAAATAACAAAATTACCCTCAATAACTAATAGGCCGAAATGATTTGACAAAAATTGAGGGTATCTTTGTCATTTCATCCTTCTTTTATGGAGATTTTTCACGGAATGATCAAAATGATTGATTGTGAAAAAACTCAGGAACCAATTCTATCGATTTCAAATCTTAGGGACTAAAGTGAGGAGTTATGTAAATCTCAGAGACTATTTTGGTTAAAAAGCCTATTTTTAATTAACCTCAATTATTTCTAGAAGAACATCATTATATAATTTGCCACATCAATTGATGTCTAATGAAAGTATTGTGGCAGATGTGTTATATTTTAGGGTGGTGCTGTTCACACATTTTTTTTTTTATCTCTCACATACTTCATGTTAATTTTTATTCTTTGGTCTTCTTTAGTTGATTTTATTCGACTGTCAAAAATTAAGAAATGTGTGTAAAAAGTAAAATTGGATGTGCAGATTGCACCACTAATGTATTATCGTATGGCGTTGATGATATAGGAGACAGTCCGGATGCAAAACAACTGCCAAAACTATAAGACATATGATTATTATCATTTGACACATGGATTGGGATGATAATTATACTTTTGCATACATCTACCTCATTATTTTTTGCCAGAGAGAGAAACTCACATGAAACACATAGTATATTTATTTCTCTTACCACATGACTTTATACTTAATAGTATAATGCCACGGATAGTTCTTGGTTAGTTTTTCTTGTTGGGCCCATAAGATACAATATAAATGGATCAATTCGAAATTTCGAACACAAAATTGGGTTGACAGTAATGAGACGAACACGACCCATCGACACGACTTGTCGCCCTTACTAGTGACTGATATTGACAGGGTTTGCGGAGGCAAGGAGGGCTTGTTGTGGAACAGGGCTGGTAGAAACAGCAATACTGTGCAATGCAGACTCAGTAGGGACCTGCGCCAATGCGTCTGAGTATGTCTTTTGGGATGGCTTTCATCCTTCTGAGGCTGCAAACCAAATTTTGGCCAATGATTTGCTCAGCAGTGGCCTCTCCCTCATCTCCTAATTAAATTAAATTATGCACTTAATCATTGTTTTTCTTGTTTAATTATAAAATTAAAATAAGTGCTGGGCTGGTGCATTTGGTTGCTTGTATTCTTGTTAATTTGATAGCTGGTGTGCTTCTTTTAAATTATCGTGAGAGAAAAAAATTATCAATTAGAAGATAAAGTTCTAGAAACTCCACTCATGTAAGTTTAGTAGAACAAATTATGAATTGTGTTTATTGAGTTGAAATAAAAAATTAATTAAGTTTTTATGTTTAGGTCTAGTGCATTTATCTATATTTTGCTACATCTGGTTAAATAAAGGATCCTTCTATTAATTTAACATAAAAAGACATGTACATGACACATTAGCTAGAAGCCAAAATCATAAAATTAAAGAAAATAATAATAATTAGATCAAAGTACCCCACATTCCAAAGGTCACATCCTAATTTAATGCATAACTACAATACTTACATGTATTTAAAACAATCATCATTTAACGGTTGGATATAATTCATGTGAATATATGTAATTGTATAACATATAAATTTTGTAGCCAAATCACTAATTTAAAACATTTTATAAAATGAGTTCGTGTACTCAACTATCGTCTTTGATGAAGTACTAACAGAAACTAACATTAGATTAGATTACCAAACAGATAAAAATCGCACAAATGTATTTAGTAAAATCACATATTACACAAAAAATAGCACACAAATGCATTTAGTTGCCTCTATAGTTTATGTGAACAAACAAATTAAAATAGGGTGATGCGATCTACATATCTCTTTTTATCTCTCAGACATCATTTTTAATTTATATTTTCAATTTTCGGCCTTCAGATTGAATAAATTAAAGAAGATAAATGACAGAAATTAACATGAGATGTTTAAGAGGTAAAAAAGATATGTGTGGATATCACTATCCTTAAAATATTTAGATTTGTTTATGATACTGAAACATAACCCAATACACCACGTGTCATAATACAAGTGAATAATTTTTTTTAATTTTTAATTTTCCAAACATTCAGCCACTTGTTTTATGATACACCGTGTTCCAGATACAATAAACAATCTTCGTTAAAATAGTTCCCATATAGCAATCTCTCCATATCCATCGCTTTGAACGACACCGTTATTGCCTTTATTATTGGAAACTGAAAATGCGACAATTTGACTTTGGCTCTCCATTCTCAAACAAATTGAATTTGCCTCTCATTTTTTCCTAAGACGGTCCAAAACGCACTAGCAGAAGTCAGACGAGGTTGCGTTTAGTAGAGAGAGAGAGAGAGAGAGAGAGAGAGAGAGAGAGATGGACTACAACCTAGCAGCACTGAAGCTGCTGTGCGTCCAACTGAAAGACGCGACCGAAGACACCAAGAACGCCATGGAACTCCACGGCATCGCCTTCCAACGCGCCTGGTTACAGGTCTCAAATCTTCCCAAAATACCCCTCTCCCTTCCTCCTCCTCTCAATTAACACCGACTGACCACTCGCAGGGCATTCTGGTCCATGTCTTCGACGACGGAGAGCGCTTGCTCCTCGACGACGGAACCGGAGTCATCGAGCTCTCCCTCAGACCCGAATTGCGCCACTGCACTTGGAAAATCGGTATCACCCCCGCACACATTAGCATCCTCGCTTCTTCCTTAAGCGCATTTTAGCGTCTTTTTCTTTTATTATTCATTAATTTATTCAATCTCTCGTTCGTTGTAACTTGTAAGTGATGCAGGAATGTATGTAATGACTGTTGGACGGTACACGCTACGTAAGAATGAGCCGCCAATGATCCAGGTAAAATTATTACTCACATTAACGTAATTTAGCATAGTAATATCGCTTGTAATAATAAAAAAATATTAATCGCATTGTGTGACCCATAACCTAAGGTATCTTAGTTTTCTTCTCGAAAATAAAATCAAATACACAAATTTTGTTACTCACATTGTATGACCTAGACCCATCAACACATATCTGACCGAGATGACTAGCAAATATAATATATGTAACGCTACTTAAATTCGGATGTAGGAAACCATACTTTGTTGTGATTTGTCATCTGAACCAGTGATAGAAGAATTTTTCCGGTAATCTACTGTTTACATGAACAGATTTAGCAACGGTTAACACTGAAATTTAAGTTGCGTTTGTGACTGAATATCAGGTACACAAGATGGTTGATCTTTCGGATTCCCATGATCGAGAGGCAATGTGGTACCTCGAAGTTATGGAGGCATACAATCTTTTCTATCGGCGCTTAATGGAAGGGTGAGAGAGAGATGGAAACCAAACTACGTACAACAGTTTCCTTGAAGCAATTCCTACCAGTTGTGCTCGACATTTGAAAATCCCTTGCTTACCTGCATCAAAAGTATGAACGTTTGAAAGCGCACATGTATTATGTCTAAGAACGATTGATAGTGCACATGTATTATGTCAAGCATGCTCAAGTTACTAGTACATGGAATTTGTAAGCTTCATTCTTGTATCAAACATAATCAGCAGCCATACACCAATGTACTTGCATGATTCTTTTATCTATCGGCTCACACAGTTTCAGCAATACAAAGATCATCCAGCATTGATGCAAATTGGGCAGATCGTGTATGTTATCCTCTCCTATGTTAGGTACCTCTGTTCAGTTTCAGGAACATTGACAGTGCAACCATCTGTCCTGACTTTCCTTGCCTCAGCAAAACATTATTCGAGTTGCATTAAGCAGGTTTTCTAATATGCAAATATCCACTTCGGTGTTTGAGATGTAGTTTCGGTTTCTGGAAATCTCGTTCTTACAACTTATATTCCTTTCCTGTTGGAGATCCAAACAGATTATGTTCCTCCCGGTGATTCTGTTGCTGCCGTGACTCTATTCTTCCGTACCCTGAGAAACTGTAGACGGTTCATGCCTGAAAGTAATACAAAGTAATGACGTTCTTCCATAAATCCAAAAGGAAAGTAAGCACTAAAGTCAGATACAGATAACAACAGTTTTTACTATCTTCCGGTATTCTTGCCATCTAAGCACACATGACACCTGAGTGTCAATCCAAGAAATTATCTTTCACTTATACAACAACAAAGTCTTTTCCCACTAAGTGGGGTATATCATCTTTCACTTATAATGATAAGAAATTATAAGGAATCCCAAAACACTATGACAAGTTGACAACAAGACAACGACAAAGGGTAGGCGCTGCCGAGCCCAAGAAAATAAATGAAGGTTATAATTTTGTTTTGAAATTGAGATATAAAGAGAATGATGCAAAACTTAAACGAGAAAAAGACTATTTAGATGTACCCAAAAATTGGAAAACTAAAACCTTTTTGAAACAAGATGATCTTTGAAGACTCTTAAAAGCATTTAATAACTATGGGTAACAACCAAGAACTGTGGAACAAACTTACTCAGAATGCTTGCGACAGCAGTCCAGCAATCTATCAACACTTAAATCATCCGCATGTTCGTCCATCGTGTCATTATCCTTGGCATAATCCTTTGAAGTAGTCCATTGATTTAAAATACTGACGATCCTTCTAAGCTGTAGCAAAAGTGAAGGAAAAATATATTGCAAGACATGGAACTTGGTACGTGAAACAATATAAACATCACCTATAACAAGAACTTAAGGTTCTACTATCGACTTAATTGCATAGTTATTGTAAGTTAACAAATTGGCAGAAGAGGATACAGCTGTAGTTCTAGCTTTTGACTGTAAGTCGCCTAATTGAAAGTCGAGAAGATCATCTTCAATCGCATCAGATTTGTTGACTAGAACCAAAACATACTGCTGGAGAACTGACGGGCTCATTTCCTTTTCCTTAACTCGAACCATTAACCTTGCAATGATGTTCCAGAGTGCACTCCTTGCTTCCAAATCGTCCGAAGAAAAGGGAAATAAATCAAGCAAACCCTGTAAGAAAGGCAAATCTGGATGGATACGAAGTGTCACTTCCATGTCGTGCCGTGATATTAAACCAAAAGCACATGATAGTAAATCTTGGAAGGAATAAACAAGTGAAGGAAACATAAACAGTTTACCCTCCGCTATCTCCAATGCTAGAGTAGATTCATCTGAAAGAATGTTCGCAATTAGAATTGCAGCTGTAACACAAGAATTTGACACCTAAAAACAAAAAAAAATTGTAAGTAGGAGTCAATCGCCACAAATTTTGGTGCAATATAACAAATGGCAAATTAGAAGGAAAATAGTATAAAGACTGCAACGACCTAGCTTGTTTTTGTTGCAGAATGTAATATAGTTTGTCCTTTCCTTTTGTTTATTTGTTCGGTTCAACAACATTTGATAACTGCAGTTTGAAATGTCACAGCTGCCTTCCCTCCACAAATTAGTAGCCTCGATTGTTACTTATGATCAACTTCACTATACTTCAGCAGAACTAATATCCATATATCTATTGGGTAATTCAGTTGATGTAAAGTTATTTAGATGGTGTCAGTAGATTCAGTTGTTTCTAAGTCATAAGAATGTATACAATATCATTTCCTTTCTTTTCAAGGTCCTCATTTTCTCATATTACCATTGAATGGAAGGCTTTTTTTCATAGAAAAATTACTAAAATCCTTATTTCGTCAAAGATCCAATTGCAAAGATTATAAACTGATGTACACGATCCTTAGGTTAGCCTCTAGATTTTTTTTGATAGAAAGAACAGATTGTTCCTGAAACTTCTAAGAAAAGTAAGAATGTCAATTCTCTGTGGTGAATAGTTGATTGGTGTTAACTTTCAGCAAATTACCCAAATGCCAGACCATCAGCTGGAAGCAGTGAACGAAACAGCAAAACCAACAACTTCATAAACATGGAAATTATAAAGTATACCTATGATTCGTACTTCATAATATCTAAGATAGATAATAGGTACCTCAACTTTATCAGGGAGTTTGACTAGGTCACAAGCTAGCTGAAAAAGTTTCTTGTTTGAACAGATGTGTTGGGAATGACCATCAATAACTGAGAGAGCTTCAATGGAACGGAGGATTACATCAAGAATTGGGTACCTGGAATTGTACAAAAATGAGCATATATCAGAATGAGATTACAAGTACATTTTTAGGCGACAGACTTACAAATAAGTTTTACATTGCAGAATTTTACACAGTAAAAGAATTGCAGGCTGAAATAACCATGATCAACAATATTATTTCCTAAATAAAGCTAATGTAACAGAATTGTCTCCTTTTCATAATCTATTAAAAGGCATAATCAAAACGAAGACATCAAAATGCTTATGAAATAAACGCAGAACCAATTTGACACATGGTACATGGTACATGTACAAGGAAACTTCAGCTGCAGATGGATTATCTACAAACCTTTCAGGTTCTCTTTCACTCATTAATTTGCTCATTTCGAAATCCAAGAGATTTATGAGTAGACTTGCTACTCCCAGCTTCATTAAAGGTGGAAGGAGAATATGCACAACTTCGTCCGAGTTTTCAATGGTGGCTAACAAGAGTTCAACATTCTGTTAAAAAAAAAATTCAGTAAGACAACGAACGCAAACATTCCAACCTGGAAATAGAGGTAATGCAGTTTAAAAGTGACTTATTGATATGTTTTACCAGTCTTTACCCTCTGAAGCATCAGTACAAAGAGAATAATAGGCATAATCCAAGGTGTGGATCCCAAAACTATTATCAAAGTTTAAATCAAATATAGGTAGGGTTTTCACACCATATGATTATTTCAAGTCAAGTGGTCCTATATCCGGTACCAATTCCTGAGTTCAAACACATTTCAACTTCATATTCCATTGTAACTCATTGGTGAAGTGTAAAGGTATACATCCATCAAAAAACAATAAACACCACATGCATGATAAAAGGTACAATTATATAAACAAGAACATCCAAAGGATTTACTTGGGCAAAAATTTTTCACTTATGAGTCTAAGAAAAAGTGACGAGGTACCAAACCTCATTTGAGCAAAAACTTAAATGGTATCTGCTACCTTTTCTATAAGCTGTAGATTTAAGCTATTTTCTGCAATCCATAGAATGCGGCTCAGATTGTGTTCGGACTGCAATGCCTTGGCCCAAATAATACGTTCACTACTATGAAGACCCACAGTTAACAGCCTGTGTCAATATAATGATTGTAAGATTAATCTCTGCATGAATCCTTGGTATCTGTAAAATCGCTTCGTACATGTTACGGCAAGAAGCATAAAAAGGTCAGTGAAATCGTTTATAAAATCACTTGGTATCGTTGAAGGCATGAAAAACATTTTTAAATTAGCACCATGAAGAAATAAAGATACATGATATAATAACCACAACAATGTCCTATCTATAAAACTGTAATAAAATAAGAGACAGACATGTACCACCACTTCCCTTGTTTGCTAAATGCAAATGATTAGGAATTATTAAGCTCCATATAATTCATTAGAGATATATGAAATATAGAGTACGTACTGTCCTTATGTACCACACAGAAAGCGGTTTATAACAACAGAAGCAGAAACAAATTTCAAGGTCATATATTTCCCTGCCAAGCCAGGAATATGCAAGAAGCAATTGAGAAAATGACTATTAAGCATAATAGGACAGGAAATAAGGATAACCTTTAATATCATATACAAGTCAACACCAAATATGATAATACCAAATCCAGAAAAATTAAATAGGAGTCATAGATGAAACTTAAATATTACCTGCAGGTTTCACATAAACACTGAGCATCATCAGAAAACAATTGATCCACAATTATTCCAATTAATCCATTTGTAGAAACTATTTTTTTCATGGGAAGTTCGTGACAGGCCAGGTTTCCAATAATTCCAAGGCTGATTTCCTAGAATAAGAAAAGAGAATATAGTCGCACGCTGAGAACCTTCGAAAACTACTAAGTTACCACGTACACTAGTTTTCACCAGGAAAGTTGGAGGGAAACAGAGATAGAGGGCAAGGAAAATTTTCGACTTAAAAACAAAAATGATGTCATAGCAAAGGACAAAATTGACTAACCGTAGCACGCACAGATTGTGAAACCATAAGGTTTGCTAAAAGCACTTCAAGTACAAGGTTTTGCACCTGCACAAATAAGTTTATATGTCTATCTCACGAATACAAAAGAAAATACATAATAAGAAAAGAGTACCAGAAATGTAGAAAAAATCAAAACTACAAATCCAGCACCAATCTTTTATAATTTCTAAAACCTCGAAATTGTGGCCATTGCATATGATATTCTTTTCCAAAAGTAGTTCTATTGTTCATGGTGACAAGCAAGTTGAAGCCATATCAAAAATGATAAGCTAGAAATTGCTTTATATTGTTAAATGCCATCACCCATCAAGTCATGTCAATAACGACTGTTTTGCAAAGAAATAAAATCACGTTAGATATTACTGTTTATAAATTTGCAATGCTTGTCTTTTAAATTTTTAATCAATGATTATTGGGGATAACATGATCACAAATGAGAATATAACACATCCAAACAAAATCAAAATGAGCAAAAAATAACAAAGAGATGAAGAAAATCCCAAGCACCATGAGTTCTGCATGAGT